GGAGTTGGAGGTTGCTGTGAGCGTGACGCCATGGCACTCTACCCAGGATAGCTTGAGGCTCTGTCTCAAAAAAAAAAAAAAAAAAAAAAAAAAAAGAATCCTCAGGGCAGGACTCCTGGGCCAGAGCTGTCTCCTGGGGATAGCTACCGCCCTCCAGCCCTACATGACTCAACCTGCTCTCTGTACCATTATGGGTCCTCTGGGGCAACAGGTGGAACTGGGCATGAGCACTGCCTGTCCTGAGGCCTCACTCTGCCCTGAAGCCATTGATATGATATATGGAGGGGCACAGGTACTCCAGGGTAAGAGGACTGAAGGAAAGAAATGCCCCTATCGAAGGCCCTGGCAATGAGGTGGATATGCTAAGGGGGCTGAAGGTGCCCACCGCTGCCTAGGCCTGGGGAAGCCTGGGATTGAGAGCAGCTCCACTTGGCTCCATTCTCTCCTCTTAGGAGTATCTCATGATTCCAACTCTGCACTTTGGTCTTCAGTCTTCTGTAAGCCACCTGGCCCACACTCCCTATTCTTTTTTATTTTGAGACAGTGTCTCAAGCTGTAGCCCTGGGTAAAGTGCCATGGTGTCATAGCTTACAGCAACCTCAAGCTCTTGGGGTCAAGCAATCCTCTTGCCTCAGTTTTTTTTTTTTGCAGTTTTTGCCCAGAGGCTGGGTTTAAACCCTCTACCTCTGGCATATGGGGCTGGCGCCCTACTCCTTTGAGCCACAGGTGCCACCCCTGCCTCAGATTTTTTCTTCTTTTTTTTGAGGTGGTTTGTCACCCTCAATAGAGTGCTGTAGCATCACAGCTCACAGCAATGTCAAACTCTTGGGTTTAAGTGATTCTCTTGTCTCAGCTTCCCAAGTAGCTGGGACTATAGGCGCTCACAACAATGCCTGGCTATTTTTTTGGTTGTAGTTGTCATTGTTGTTTGGCGGGCCTGGGGCTAGATTTGAACCTGCTAGTTCCAGTGTATGTGGCTGGTGCCTTAGCCACTGAGCTACAGGCACCAAGCCAGATTTTTCTGTTTTTAGTAGAGACAAGGGTCTCACTTTTTGCTCAGGCTGGTCTCAAACCCATGAACTTAAGCTATCCACCCACCTGGGCCTCCCAGAGTATAAGATTACAGGCACAAGTCATTGTGCTTGGCCCCCCATTCTTTTTTTTTTTTTTTTTTTGAGACAGAGATTCACTTTATCACCCTTGGTAGTGTGTTGTGGCATCATAGCTCACAGCAACTTCAAGCTCTTTGGCTCAGGTGATTCTCTTGCTTCAGCCTCTCTAGTAGTAGACTACAGGCACCTGTCACAATGCCCAGGCTTTTTTAAGGGGGGAGGTCTCACTCTGACTTAGACTGAGCTCAGGCAATCTACCTGCGTTGGCCTCCCAGAGTGCTAGGATTACAGCATGCACCATCACGAGGGGTTTTTTTTTTTTTTTTTTGAGACAGTCTCACTCTGTCACTTCAGGGTGGAGTGCCATGACTTCACAGCTCACAGCAACCTCAAACTCTTGGGTTCAAGCAATCCTCTTGCCTCAGCCTCCAAAGTAACTAGGCCTATAGGTGCCTGCTGTAACACCTGGCTGTTTTTAGAGATGGGGGTTTCACTCTAGCTCAGGCTGGTCTCCAACTCCTGAGTTCAAGCAATCCACTCGCCTCAGCTTCCCAGTGTCAGGACTACTGGTGTGAGCCAATGTGCCTGGCTATATACCCCATGTTGAGGTTTACTTGGAGCCAAACTTCTCAGCCCCACCCCTTGTCCCTTTTAGGTCCTGGAGTTCTAGGACCTAAACTTGATCCTTGGGGAGACCCAAGGATCTCCCGGTTCCAGCCCATCTCTACTCAGACCCTGTTTTGTATGTGTCCTCACCTACTTCCTACTTGTCTTCAAGGCTCATTTCCGACATCACCACTCTGGTAGCTAAGGAGACCTCCCCCAAGCTTCCATAGCATCCCTCCCCTAGGCTGTTACTACAGTGTGTTCTATCTATCCCTTCCAAGCTGGTACAGGAGGGTCAGCTTAGCCAGGCCCAGTGAACACCCACCAAGTTGTTGGGCAGACCTAATGAGTCCTTGAGGACTGGGCGTTGGCCCATGCAGAGTGGGAAACCAGGCCCAGGAAGCCACCCCAGCTTCCCTGAGAACAAACCTCTGGTGTAACAGAGCCCAACAAGGGTGGGGTCTCTGGAGGGGTTGCTCAGTGTCCCACCAGCTAAGGTCACTGGGATGCATGGTTACCAGCATAGGGAAAGGGTGACACTTCCCAGCCAGACAGTGAAGGGCACATTCTTGTTCCTGGGTGAGGGAAAAGTACCAGCATCTGGTGACCAGCATTTCTCCCTGGGCAGTAGGCTGCTGACCAACTAGCAGGACCCACAGGGCCAGAGCCAGCCAGAACAATGGTGCTGGGGACCCTGAGAACCTTCCAGACTGGGCGCAGGGATAGAGAAGGGCCAGTACAGTGCTGAAGCACTAAACCGTCCTCCACAAACACACAGCCAGGCCCAAGTTCCAAAATCAACCCAGAAGCTTTAATGGCCTGCCTCCAGGAACCACAAGCTCTTCACAAACCCTTAAGGCCAATGCCCTTTGTGCCAGCACCTGGCTCAGGTCAGCACTCTGCAGGCAGGTGGCCCACAGCAGGCCTACTGGGCTCCAAGAGTACCAGAGTCCCCAATCCTGATCTGTGACCTCCTAGGACTGAGCTGCCTCTCAACCTGCCTGCCCCATCCCTGAGTCCCTGCAACTGCTGCTTCCAGAAAACAGCTTGCCCAGGACAGTGCCTGGGGTGGAGGAGGCAGCTTTGGGAAGTCGACTTATGTCAACTCAGGCCAGGCTTAGAGCTTTCAAGGGTGGGAATAGCAGGCCCAGAACAAGCATGCCAGCCCTAGGCCTGTCCCCATCAGCAGCAGGGACAGTGGGGACAGGAGGCTCCCTCAGGGAGCTCCAGGCTGGGTGGGGGTGGGGGTGGGCGCAAGGGTGACTCTAGGAAACATGAGTCATATAGACTGTACAATGTACCACTCTAAGACAACCAAGTCCTATGACACATAAAGACTCTACAGGAAGGTTGTGCTGCCTCAGCCTATTCCAGGCCCTGTCCCACAGAGGAAGCAGAGACCCAAACGAATGTGTGTATGTCAGGCATTATCCCCACGACAGCCCTGTGAGGTAGATTGTGTTGTCCTATTTTACAAATGGGGTATGAGGGCTCAACAGGGTGAAGTATCTTACCCAGGTCTGTACAGCTTCAAAGCCAATGTGTTTTCTCTAGGGAAGAAATAGAAAGTATTCCCAGCTAATAAAGATCCTCAAGCCAGCCTGGGTGGGCCTGGGGTGACAGCTGGGGACCCTCAAGGGAGATGCCATGGGCCCAGCATCCACTCCTGGCCCAGGACTAAACAGGCAGAAGCGGGGGGGTAGAGTGAGCCCCAGGTAGTTGCCCACACAGTACCAGCAACTAGAGTTATAGGTGGTGGCTCTGGCCACCCAGTAACTGTGGGTGGGGTGAGGGCCGGTCTGGTCCTGAGGCCTTGTGGCCCCAAGTGGGCAGTGCTAGGCCATTGAGCCAGGCGGTTTCCAGCAAGCTGCGGAATCGGGCCTTCAGGGTGGGGCCAGGTGGGCTGTCACACCCCGCAGGGGCAGGTGAGCCACCACTAGACTCTCTCCCAGAGGTTGCCTCTGCTTTGTCCGGGCCAGGAGTTGATGGCTTTCTCCCTGGCTTCCTGACCTTGGGGGCCGGTGACTTCCGAGCCAGGGCTGGGCTCTCTGGCTCATCTCTGGCCATGGAGGGTTCTGAGGGGGACACAGCTCCAGCCTCAGCGTCAAAGTCACCTGGAAAATGAACAAATAGTCAGTCTGCAGACCCCCACACCCTCAGGTCCCATCTCCTTGCCTTTAAAGCCATTTACAACAATCTAGTTCTGCTCTGCCCCAGGCCAGGATGGCACCAGTCAGGTCACAGATATCACAACTCTTTTTTTTTTTTTTTT